ACCTTCCTCGTGAGACACGACCCCGGTGTTCGAATCTTTTGATTCTACTCCAAAAAAATTATTACAACAAAACCTAGAAAAGGAAGGAATCATAAAAAAAAATGAGCATAGATTTTGAATTGTCCCAAGTAGAAGGGGTTAATTGTAGAGTTTTTTCTAAGAGAAGCTGTGAGGAATTCAAGAGGAAGGGAATGACATTTAAGGGTCCAAAAATGAGGGAAGAAAACAAAAGTTGTTCATAGGACATAATCAACCTGAGGTGGAGGAAACTAGCCCTAACTAGTCCCATGGTTTCCAATGAGAGGCTATGTGTGGAATTGTAGAAGTTTGGGGGGACCCGCTACAATTTCTTACTTCAAATAGGCCTTTAGGGTTCACCTCAAAGATTTTTCCTTATTAATAGAAAAAAAAAACAAAACAAAAAAAACAGAAACTTATTATTTCTGTGTTGAGAAAGCTTAAACTGGAGGATAGATGGTTCTATGTTCACCATGTAGGATAGAAAGGTGGGTTACTTCTTTCCAGGTCTAATAACATTACAATTATAGATATAATTAGCCTTGATTTTTATATTGGGGTCAAGTTTAGTTGGAAATGCTAATTTTTGCTAGGTTGTTTATGCTAGCACTGATCCAACTATTAGACTGTACCAGTGAGAGTTCTTGTGTAGACATAGTTTGTACTAGGGTGAGGTTTGGTTTATCTGTGGGGACTATTAGATCTTTTAATTGATCGTGGAAAACTTGAGGGCTTTAGGAGGGATGAGTCAAGCTTTACTGATTTGAGGTCTTTTGTGTGGTCTGTGGGAGTGGTTGAAACCAAAGTTGTTCGTCATCCCTACACTTGGTTTGTAATAGAAAAGGGGTAGAGTTTATTGAGGAAAAGTTAGATAGGTTCATTTTTTCCCCAGTTTGGATCCTTGAGTACCCTTATTCCCAAATTAAGCAAATTTCATTATTTCCTTCTGACCACAGAATGCTTGTTTTGGAGACTAATCATATTTGTAGGCCTCACAAGAAGAGATTTGACTTTGATGTTAGATGGATCTAATTGGTGTATATGTCAATGTTTGATGGATGCTAATGCAATAAGAAATCTAACAGTGACACGAGAGAATGTATCAAAATAATCTTTTCATTTCTCTTGTGTATATCCTTTGGCTGCTATTCTAGCCTTATATGTTTCTATACCACCATACGATTTATATTTAATTTGATACATCATTTACATCCTATGCAATGTTTGTTTTTGGTCAAGTCAGTGAGTTCCCAAATTTTAGTTTGTTTTAGAGCAGTTGATTCTTTTTTCATAGCTTCTGCCATAAGGGATTTTTAGCAGCTTGATTGTATGTCTTAGGCTCTTTGTGTTGGGACATGGCAGATGTGAAACATTTTTGTGTGAATCAGAAAGGTTGTTAGTGGATAAGTGATTAGGGATTGGATATTTAGATGTTCCAGAAACGCAGAGAAGAAGAATGAATTAGAAGTAAGAGGAAGATTGTGTGCATAGATATCGAAATAGGCTGGGATTTTCTTTGTTCTAATTGATTTCCTTAAGTGCGGGGATTGAACTGTAGGTATAGCAAGAGATGATGAAGTTAGGGTTTGCACAGAGGTAGAGTTGTGTGTGTGGTTTGTGATGACCGATGAATTTAAAGATGTAGTGGACATATGTAATATCTTGTGTTTGTGTTAAAGGATTGTCAGAAATAGGAATATGGTTTTTGTTTTTGTCTTGTATGAATGGAAGTTTCTTTTGTCTTGAATAATGACATACATCATAGGGATTAGAAGTAGATTTAGAGTAGTTATTATCACACATAGGTAGCAAGTTCAGCTTATTGAAAGAGAGATGGCCTAATCTGTGTGTGTCGTCTTAATACTTACTGCTTTCTTTTTTACGATGCCCACATTGTTCTTAATCCTTCGCCGCCTCGGTCATTGACTGTGCTGAAACAGTCACCGGCCTTATTTCTATCTCGCGCAGCCTTGTTCGAAAGATGCGGGTGGCCACGTTTGTCGTTCTACTCATGGCCACGGACTCGAATGGAAATGTTTCATCTCCGGAAGCTGTTCTGTTTCTTCGGGAGTTTGCAGATGTCTTTCTGGAGGATTTGTCGGGGGGATTGCCACCTTTACGGGATATCCAACATCATATTGAGTTGGTGTCAGGTACTTCTCTACCTAATCGTCCGCACTATCGGATGATCCCAACGGAGCCTGAGGAACTGCATCAACAGGTGGAGGAACTATTGCAACACGGGTTGACTCGGCAGAGATTGAGTCCTTGTGCTTTGCCCACTTTGCTCATTCCTAAGAAAGATAGTTCATGGCGCATGTGTTTGGATAGTCGAGCTATCAACAAGATTACGGTTTTATTCCGTACTTGGATGATTTACTAGATCAGTTGTGTGGCGCTTTGGTGTTTACCAAATTGGATCTCCACAGTGGCTATCATCAGATCTACATTCGGTCGGGTGACGACTGGAAGATGGCGTTTAAGATTTGCGATGGGTTCTTTGAGTGGTTGGTGATGGCCTTTGGGTTGTCCAATGCACCTAGCTTTTTTATGTGTGTCATGAACTAGGCGTTGCATGATCTCATTGGCTTCCAACGGGATTTTTTTCTCTATATGGATCATGAGCCGCTGTGCCACCTTACTTCTCTGGATAACATCTAGGCCCGCCATGCGTCGTGGGCATCTTTTTATAGCAGTTCACATTTGTCCTCAAGCATCGCTCCGGGGCGTCTAATCGTGTGTCGGATGCTCTGAGTCAACTCACCCTTATTTTGCCTGATTTACGGGTGCCACTAATGGGTTTTGATTTGCTTCGGGAGTTATAGAGGATGGATGTGTTTTTTTGTCCGGTCGTGGTGCATCTTTCTTCCAGCTCCTTCGAGGACTACTTGCTGAGTGATGGTTTCATTTCTATGGGGGTTCGTCTGTGTGTGCTGGATTGTTGTCTTCACCTCAAGCTTGTTGGCGATCTTAATGGAGCAGGCCATGTGGTCGGGATCGCTCCGTGGAGTTGGTGCAGCAGTCATTTTTCTGACTTTCGTTGCGCCGCGATGTCACGCTGTATGTTGAGCGTTATCGCCTCTTCTAGGTGTCGAAGGGTGTGGCCTCTAACGCCGGTCTTTATCGTCCTTTATGGGTTCCCTCTCAGTCGTGGTCGACCATTAGCATGGACTTTGTGCTCGGTTTGCTGCGCACGCAGAGAGGCGATGACTTGATTTTGTTGGTGGTGGATCACTTCTCCAAGATGGTCCATTATAGTCCCTCCAAGCGCATGATTGATGTTGTCCATGTGGTTCAACTGTTGTTTAGGGAGGTTTATCGCTTGCACGATTTGCCATCCTCTATTGTGTCTGACCGCGACACTTGTTTCTTCAGTTTCTTTTGTCGTAGCTTGTGGCGACAAGCTAATATGCGTCTCGAATTCAGTAGTGCATATCACCCGCAGACAGACAGATGACCAGACAGAGGTTGTTAGCTGGTCGCTGCTGGGTTTCTTGGTTAGCAAAAATTTACGGTGATGGGATGTTCGGCTCAGGCTGAGTTTGCTTATAACTTGGCCATTAGTCGGGCGACGCGATTTTCTCTTTTTTAGGTGGTCTATTCGGTGCAACCGCGCGGCCCAAGGGACTTGGTGGCCTTGCCGACACCCGATCATGTGGAAAAGCGCGCGAAGGAGTTCATGGCGGACTTGCGTCGGACTCATGTGGCGGCTTGCGCGAACTTCGAGGAGACGACTGCGTCCTACAAGCGGCAAGCGGATGCTCATCGGCGTCATGTGGAATTTGAGGTCGGTGATTTTGTTTGGGCTCTGTTGACGAAGGATCGGTTTTCTGCATATGAATATAACAAGTTGTCGGCCCATAAAATCGGCCTGATGGAGATTGTGGAGAAGATCAATCTGAACGCCTATCGCCTCCGTTTTCCTTCTCACATTTGCACGTCGGATGTCTTCAATGTCAAACATTTGTCCCATTCCACGAGGATAATTTCGGACGAAGATGAGACTGTATCATATAAAAGGGTGATTCCTGTTCAAGCCGAGAGGAATAATGGAGACGAGATTGTATTGGCCTTTTTGGACAAGCATGATCATCTAGCATCATTAATTTGATTATTTATTTTCTTTATTTTATTATTTGCATATTAGATTTGGTAGGCTTATTAATTATTATCATATTTCTTTTTTTGTTAGGCAAGTTATTTATGTAGGACTTTTAAGAGTTCTATTTAAATAACTCTCCCTTTATTGTCCTAGTTGGTTGATTTTAATTAAATAAAATATATTCCAAAGTTTTCTCTCAATTTTTTCTTGTGTATAGTTTCACTACGTCATCAACTCACTCACTCGGTTGCTTAAACAGTTTTTGACAACATCAATTTTGTTTCATAATTTACTGTTTTGCTATTCGATAATTGCTTCAATATGTTTCATTTATTTCATAAAATAAATTTTCTTTTGTTTTGTAGCACAAAATTATATGATATGATTAATATAAGCGTCCAAGCTCAAAAAGGCCGGCCCACTGTGCCTCTGATTGGTCTTTCGGTAAACAGCACCCCACGTTCAGTTGTTTCACTTGTTTGTTTGTTGTAAAATCCAATTTTCTTTGCAATTTATTGAATAACTGAGCATGCTTTATTGGATGAGTTGCAACTTCGAAATCATAATACCCTGAAAAATTATATTCTATGCTCTAGAGCTTTCTAGTTAATTTATATCTCATCAAAAAATAAAAAAATAAAAATAAAAAAAAAAATCAACAGTTTGAATCCATAATCTCAAGCCCAACGGAAAACAGATACGAGGCCCAGACTGTTTCAAGATTATCCGAATTGGCCCAGATCTCTAAATGTGATGCTTAGATTATCTTGGAATTCACAGGGTCAAATTCCATATTTCGTCTAAATTTCAATTTCAAACAAAATAATTGATTTTGTTCTGTTTTAGGTGGAAGAACTCGCAGTAGTTTTCGTAATCAGCCCTTAAATATATCAAAGACTTTAAACATAAAATGTATCTCATCTCAATAAAAAACCATACACGAGTGGTCTTATTGTGTGCATAACACTATATTACAAACAGAAGAGGAAAAAAAAAAAAAGTAAAATAATAAAGAAAAAGTTAAAACTCAACTAAGACAATGAGACAAACATATCTTACAAGAAACTACAAATCAAGAAACACAAGCAGACAACAAACAAAGCAGAGCTCCAACTTCTTCACTGGTTTTGTGTGAGGGAAGGAAATGACGGTATTGACCTTAGTATCAACTTCCGGCTGCTCCTCACGCCACTGTGAGGTGGAGACACTCTTTTCCCATTGGGTGATGACACCTTTATGCCGCTGCTAACTGGAGACGAGCCCTCTTCTTGGAGAAAATCGGGCATTTCATCTTCTTTTATGGTTTCAAAACGATTCTCGAATTTTGGAGGTGGCGGCACAAAGCTTTGCTTGCTCAAAGTTGTCTGCATGGGTTGGAAAACAGAGGAGGAAGAAGAGCCTATTGAAGGAAAACTCGATCTCGGTGGCTTTTTCTTGGACGAAAATGGGAGGTGGGTCGATGATTTCCTGCTAGATTAATATAAAAAAATAAATAAATACAAGTTTTTATTTTGCAATGAGAATGGGAGTTAGTTAACATGACTAAAAAAACAAAAAATAATAATCAACTCTCTATTTTCCAAAATCATTTGTCTCTATTTTTAATAGACTAAGATAAAAAAGCTATTCGGGCTAGTGTCTTTCTTTATTAGTGATTTAGGCCAAACGACAAGGATAGGTTTTTTCTTTTTTGACTAACTTTTGTATATTACCTTGCAGCTTGTAAAGGTGTTGCAGGGAGAGTAGTGGGGTCCACATTCATCTCGTGCTCATTTTCGATTGTGCACTTCTGGAAGCTTCTGTCGAGCATGCTCTTTTCGGCCATGTCCAATTCATCTTCCTCGGGTTCAACCTCTATGCCTATTGCACCTGAACCTGATTCAAAAGGGTCAAAGGAAGATGCTTGAGCATCATATACTTTAGGCAAAATTGCATATTAATAAACCACCTTCCATGTTTTTGCAATTTGATAATCACCTTTACAATTTTGCAAATTAATACACCACCTTTACCATTTTTGCAAATCGATACATGAATGACGGTTCTGTTAACGCGAAAATATGACAAGGCATTTAGCCACGTCAATGCCATGTCAGATTTTCGTTAGATTTTTTTACGGAACCGTCATTCATTTATCGATTTGCAAAAATGGTAAAGGTGGTGTATTAATTTGCAAAATTGTAAAGGTGGTGATTAAATTGCAAAAACATGAAAGGTGGTGTATTAATATGCAATTTTGCCCATACTTTATTACCAGGCATTTGCTAAGTAATGTGTTTAAAAATAAATAATTAAAATAAATCAAAGCACAAGCAGAAGCAGAATCAAGATCAGAAGTTAGCATTACAAAATATTATTGAAATAATTCTCTTTTTTCTTCTTATGCAGTTCTCAGACATTCAATTATATAGCAATACATGAATAGTAAAACTCACCATCCTTTCTACCAAAAGCATTCTTACACCCTTCACAGCGGCAGTTAATTGAGCACCCCACACCACCCTTCATAATCGGCCAAAACAAAGAGTTTTACCATTAGACGACATATAGTAACTACATAAAGCAATATATAGGGGAAAAGGAGAGAGAGAAACCTGATAGCATTCACAGTATTTTTTAAGGCAGCCTGATTTCTTGCAGTTGCATCCTCTTTTGTGTCGGGCTGAAGCAGGAGTCTTGCTGGGGTCGTCCTGCAACTACAATATTTCAAAAGAAAATTAAATAAATGCATAAAATTGTAGAGTAATAAAAAAATATATATTTGCGCCAAAACCAGATTCTGACCCCAGTTTCTGAGACGTAATCAGGCCCCCGAATCACTTTGGGAGCAAAAGCAAGTGGATTTCTAGACTCGATTTGTTTGCGCGTAGCTAAAACAGTGTCTTCATGTATGGGTTTATTGAAGCAGTCTATACACGCACATGGCTCGACACAGTACACGCCAGCAGCAAAACATTCACAGTAACTGCAAATCAAAAGTTAATGCAGTTATTATATACATTGGCTCAGGTACTTGATGATTTTACCACTAAAAGGGCATGAACAAGCTAAAATCACTAACCAGAATGAGAAAAGGAACAATAAATAAATAAATAATAACTACATTGCCAGCTGAAACTTGAAATAAAACACAAAGGTACGCTATATGATGTA